GGCCCCTCCCGAGAGCAGATAAATGTCAGAGAGCAGACAAAGGACCTTTTTTTTTTTTTTAACCTGAATTATGAAGAATTTAGCAAGTTGCCCTTTTGGCTTACGCCCAAGGGATGTTGTCACACCCTGGCGTTCGCAGTTCCGTGGGTTGCAGAGGCGGCTGGTCGTCCCTAGGGGGCTTCCTGTGGGTGGCCCTGGGCGGCGTGCGTCTGTCTGCAGGCTTCCTTATCTGCAGACGGGGCCCACCACAGGGATGCCCGTTGCTCTGATTTCCTGTGCACTGACTCTGGGTTATCTCCATTCGATCATCTTCTTGTGTGCCAAAAACTGCGTCAGCAGTGGCTCTGGCGATCGTGGGGAACAAAGACTTTACCTGGTGAATGAATGGAGTCTGGGAGTTCCCCAAACCAGCAGATGCAGAAACACATCCATCCCCCTGGGAGCTTTGAAGGCTTGATAGGAACAGCTGAGACTCACAGAGATGCCCAGAGGAGGCAGGAGCCTGGGCAGCCAGGGGAGCGTGCTTGGCCCTTCAGGAGCGCTGAGGAAAGCCGGGAGGGGCTGGCCCCGGACAGACTGGCAGAATAACAGATCCCAGAGGGTGGCTACAGCTCCGAGAGCTCTGGTCTGGGCAGCGGAAGGCAGTCCTGTGCTGATTAGGGTTATTCAGTGCACTGTTTGGGGCCGCTGCGTTTATATTAAAGCATGGGTCAAGTTCAAAGGAGAGTTGGGGACCCAATTCAAGACTCAGGGGCATGGCTGCACTGAGGCTGTCGGGGCAGGGAGTGCCCATGGAAGAGCAGCCTGCCAGTGGTTGTGGGGGCACCATGGGCATGGGCCGAGTGTGTGTCAGTGTGTGCATGTGTGTATGTGAGAGTGTAGTAGATGTGTGAATTTGTAAGTGTAAGTGTATGAGCATGTGTCACTGTGTGAGAGTGAGTGCATGCCTGTGTGAGCATGAAAGTGTGAAGAGTGTGAGTTGTGGGCGTGTACGTGTGAGGCTATGTATATGTGAGTAGGTGAGTCTGAATATGTGTGTGAGACAGTGTGAGTGTATAAATGTGTGTGAGAGCGAACGTATGTATGAGTGTGAGATGTGAAAGGTGTGTGTGTGTGTGTGTGTGTGTGTGTGTGTGTGTGTGTGAAGTCTGTCTTCAGCTAAGCTGGGGGGCTTTCTTTGGAGGGAGCAATTCCTGGGAC